GACATTGTGAAAATTCCCAGTTTCAACTTCATTTTGAAGATAATTTTTCATTCTTCAAAACGAGCTCTAACTCATCCCAATCGGATTATTGAATCGGAAAATATTGACGATTGAAGGGGGGCCGTTTTGCCCCATCCTCCCCTATATCAATTGTGCTCTCGTTAATATAGTACTGAATCAATTATTCATTCTGAATGGATACTCAATTATGGGCCATTGGAAAGATATATATTTATAGTCAATTCTTCATTGAAAAAACAATTCACAAGTTGTTTAGTTTAATAGTGTGTCAACAATCACCGGATCTCATTACATACACTAGACAAAAAAATGAAATTTCATGGACAGTTTACTAATTTTCAACACAGTGACACTGAATTCGTCACATTCGAGTAAGATTCCAGAATTTTAAGCAACACAAAGACGAGAATTTCTTAATTTATTTGGATTCCCAATCTAATATATTCAGTGCCAAATTACATAATTTTCAATGAAATCTGAAATTTCATAATTTTTTTCCCTCTAAATCGCATTCAGGGTCACTGCCCTGAAAATTCCCGGGCCCATGACTAAAAATTCCGCTTAAAAACTACTGCATTAAAACAACCTCCAAAATAACACGTGGCGGATAAGGCGGAGTTCTTTTGACGGCAGTTTTTTAGACATGCTCCCAAAATTCACGAATATATTTATCGGAATTTTTTGGTTTTCTATTCATTATCAGGGAAAAATGCAGCTCAAATTTACAGTTTTCTTTGATTTTTCCACGAAATTTTGAATTTTCATGATGAAATTCCTTGAAATTTCAGTGGTAATTAAATTCGATTAAAATTTCCAAAAAGTGTACCGGAAATCTTAGACAAAAATTTCTAACAGTATAGAGTATAGAGTATAGAGTATAGAGTTAGTGTAGAGTTAGTATAGAGTAATTTATCCGAGTAATTCTTATGAGATCTCCAAAAGTTCACAATTAATTCACATGACAAACTTCTGGTTTACAAAACCATTTTCTTCACAGCATAGAACGCATGTAGGAAAAAATGTCCCTGAAGAAAAAACTGCCCCGGAAAAACAGCCAAATCACAAGGGCTTCAGCGCATGTACGGAGCGGGGTGGGTCTTTCCTTCCCGTGGCTATTTTTCGCTTAAGACATGGAACAGTCACGTTAGATCCATCCCCATTGGATTGTTTTCGTCTTCCAGGGCTTCTGGAGACAATCAATTTGTGTCAACTTCCGTAGAGATGAGTCGTCTGCGCACGGAGGAGAATACGACGGGACACCCAAAGTAGTAAAATGTTGCTGTGTTGTGACCATTGCCGGTTGGTTTGTAACGCATACACTGAGGACGTGAAGTAAGAGAAAAAATGTGGCGGTTAGGTGTATAGAGACAATAATAACACGTAGTTGTGGAATATAAAAGCGTTGTATAATATTTATCGCAGAGATGTGTTTACATCGAATATATAAATCGGACTGAATTCAACTGAAATGATTGACTGACTGAGATGTTTGTCGGAGAGCGTGCGAGTTTAAATACCTTCTGTAATGGAAGGTTCGGGAATCGTCCAGAAATATCGTGAGGGACAAGGACAGAATGATACCCGTCTCAAATATGACGGTATAGAATATTCGAGACGCGTTAATCAGCTTCGAAACAATAATTCGTTTGTGGCTCGCGCTACAAAAAATTAGTTGAAACAAATAAAAGAATACTTGAACCAATCGTGAAAAGTTTGCATCAAAGTAAAAGTCTTTGAAATACTCCCTCAACACATTTGAAGTGAGGGAATAAATTCGTTAGTAAGATTCAACGGAAATTTCGATAGAGTTGATCTAGCTACTCTCAGAATTTCCTCAGAATAAGGCTTTTCATCTCTACGCTCACTGCTTTGAGGAATTATTTTCCTTTTAATGATTAAAATTCTCCGCTCCGCTTAACCAGCATGGAAATGAAATATCACTTTTATGAGTCGACTCAAATGAGTATTGAGCCACGATGCCCCACAGTAAAAAGTTCGGTGTCAAAAATTTGATCTGAAGCATGAATTTTGTGTTAATGCTAACATCGAGGAGGTGAAATGAGTAATAATGCATACACTGTTAAAAAAATTTTGCTGAATTTTCCGGAAGAAGACCTTAAATTTGATTTAAGGCGAAAAAGTTGATGGAATTTCAAAGTTTTCTGAAAATTCAAGTGAAGTCCCAATTTTTTTAGCCGCAGAAAGACGGTAATTCCACAATATACGTGAGACTTCAAGTAAAAATCAATATTCACTGCCAAATTCGCTTAAAGTCTTTTAGAATTCTTAGACTTCCAGGAATTTTTGAAGGAATTCTCTGAACTTCATGAAAAGTCAGGCAAATTCAGAGAAAGTTCTCCTTGAATTCGCGATTCCGATGGGATTTCCGGTGGTCTATTTTTTCCGAGATTCTTGTCATTAAAAATTCACGATTTCATGGACAAATCCGTGGAAACTTTAAATTTCAGCTCCATTATTCCGGGAAACTTCATGAAAAGTCAGGCAAATTCAGAGAAAGTTCTCCTTGAATTCGCGATTCCTTTGAATTTGCCTGACTTTTCATGAAGTTTCCCGGAATAATGGAGCTGAAATTTAAAGTTTCCACGGATTTGTCCATAAAATCGTGAATTTTTAATGACAAGAATCTCGGAAAAAATAGACCACGGAAAAAATAGACCAAGAGAAATTTCCGAGTTGTGTAGGTTTTAGCATAATTTGGTAGTGTGGGCTATTTTTTCCTGGTATATTTTTTCCGTCCACCTTTTATGAAAAAGCTTGGTGTCAATTCCACTTCGCGATTCGGTTGATTTTAACAGCAAAATATTTCACTCCACACCAAGGCCTTGAACACTGCAGATTTTTTACTGTGTACTCATGGTGAATTGCATGGCTCATGTGTGTCATAAGCCTACTGGATTATAGGTCTAAACCTAACACAATACCCGCGTGGATACATCCGTCATTCAATTCCCGTTCCCGAATAATCAATGGAAATACCCGTAGATACATTATCTGACAGCGGATGTTTCTTGCTGTCATTTCGCGGTATGCAGATTTTCCGTGCATTGCAGCCTGTTCGAGTACAAGTTTTACGAGTAGCTGATCGTAAAAGCGATAGACACCGGTCTAAAGTGGTTAATTCTCTGTTTTCCAATGTGTACATGTGCCACTCACCTAGGTCTGCGTACGATAATGGAAGGAATGTTCATTGATCGAAATGCAAAGTGTCCCTCGTGCAATTTCAATTTGCTGTTATAGCCTGAGTTATTTGCCGCATGCAGCTGAAGAGACTGATGTCAATTCCACTGAGTTTTCTTACTTTACTAGGTACTCAATTTTATGAAGGATAAATGGAGATTCTAATTACCTGTTGTAGTACTGCTACTAATCAAAGAGGATGATCAATTACACTGCCATCGAGACATTCTATTATCCATTGAGATTACATATTCTTCTGGTTCAGCTTAATGAGAATTATTGTCAAATAAATCGCAATGGGATTCAGTAAATAGGTCAATTTCAAGTATGTGCTTCCATCATTATCATCATCAATAATTTACATATTTTGACAGTATTTTTTTCTTTTTCATCAACAGGATTCATTCATTTATCTGTTCTCTACTCTTTATCACTTGTTTGAGATTCGACAATATTAATGAACTTCAGCCCTAGTAGAAAATTCATTGCGCAGAAACGTCGCGGCGTAACTTGGCGCGCGGCATTGCCTTTTGCGGCGATGTACCTCGGAAAGGTACGCAGCAGGGTCACTGAGACAGGCCTGCGCGGGGTTTATGTAGGATGGACCTATCTGCGTCCGCCCTAACCTCAAATCTCGTCAATTAAGCATTCACAATTTTCAGATTATTCGTATTAATTCAAATCAATTATGGGAGGATTAACTATTTGTTAGTAAATAGTAATCTCTCGCATTTAATTGATGATTATTGTTATCGACAAAATGAAAAAATGGGAGCGCACCGCGTCATTGTCGCATAGGTTTCCAGTAGCGACTTAGCCGCGGAGTACGGCAGCGCACTCTGTGCGTGAATGTCGCTGCAACAACCAATGTCGCAGAGCCTCTCACAATTTCCACTAGGGAGGAATGCTGAAGAATGTTAATAGTTGTCCCGAGTTCCAATCTCGATCGGGTAAAATGTTGTGATCTGACCTGAAAAATATATCCTCGAATCGGGTATCTAATATTACGGAATCAGGAATAATTGTATCCCGAAATCCGAAATATTTAATTCTCGATTCCCGAATAATATTTTGGAATCCAGAATATTTTATTCTCAATTCCGGAATAATATTCCGGGGACTTCCTCGCATTGAAATATGTTGCGTCTATAAGAAATGGCATGTACTGACGACGCGCCGTCCGAATTTTCGTGAAATAGGGCAATAATCATGTGGTTTCGCGGCAGCGGCAATCTCGAGGGGCGGAGGGGAGCTTGAACGACGCTACAACTCTTTGTCTTGAATTGCACCTTGTAACTACTTGGCAGTGTATTATTCCGAAATCGAGAATCAATTATCCTGAATTCCGGAATACAGATATTCCTGATTGCGAAATGTTATATACCCGATTCGAGGATTTTTTTTTTTCATAAATCTTTTAAAATTTTGATCAGCTCAGCGATAGATAGGCGAGAAGGTCGTAAATAACTTCAAAAAAAATTTCAAGAATCCATTAAACTTCAGGAGATCCCCACCCCAACGTGAAGGAAGAGCGAATAAAGAATTCGACTACTATGTTCATTAACTTCAGATTTTTCTCATTTTGAAATGTTCGTTAGACAAGAGGACGATCAATTACACTGTTATCGAGACATACTATTATCCACTGATATTAAAGTTACTCACTTCTAAAATACGTCGGTGATGGCAGCACATTGCGTTCGCGCCAAGTGGTAAAGATCAATATTCCCCGAGCCTTCGGAACCACTACACACTTTGTAAGGATTCAATGAAATCGCAGGAATGCTTCCAATTGTTTAATGATAACTTGTTGCTATACATATTCATTTTCTAAGGAACAGTCAACATTTATATCAAGGGAAACAAATTTCCATGTGAAATTGAATTTTGTGAATGCCTGAGGTTTCTCTGGAAAATTGTGACAGAATCGAGAAACCCACTGGAGCCTGCATAGGTGGTGGTTGATAATGCAGTCTCCTTGAGTATCATCGTTGATCACTGTAGCTTCAGGTGATATTTTAACCTCGGTAGCGCTTCAAACCCTTTACGCTTCATCGGTAGTGATTTTCTCAGTTACCGCAGATGTGTTATCGTGAGTTGGCTCTGGCTCATGGATACCCATCCACTTGCAGCGTTTTTGCAATTCGAGTCGGTATCTGAAATAGAATTTACAAGTTAATTACTCATTGCTGAAATTGTTATCATTTCCGCTAGAGTGAAAAAATTCACCTTGGATGATTGATCGCATATATCCATGGATCTATGCAAGATACTGCTTTGGCGAATAATGCCGGAAGCATCGTCGAGAACGGTGTCAGTGAATCCCTGATATAATCAATCGTTAATAGAAAATCAACTCATCAATCATTTTCATTCCATCCCAATCGTCATTCTGACAGCTTACCGATTCCCAAAGGTGGCCGTCATGGCGACAATTCCGTAAGGCGTCCACGAGCAAACAAAGAGGAAGAAAATTGTAAATGCAACCTTGGCAATTCTCATTTCAACGCTCCTTTCTTTATCCTGGTTGGATTGCAGAGACTTGACATTCATCTTTTTTGCCTGAAAGAGAAATTTCAATGGAGAATGGGAGAGATTCAATGAAAAATTAGTTTTGTGGAATCCTCGTGCAATGTCTATTGAAATGTCGTTACCTGGTCATGGAGCATTTTCTCGTGTTTGCGGACAGAACCAATTAGTTGTGAGTAGCACAAAACAATCAAAGTCATTGGAATAGCATATGACCACACGAATATGCTGCCCACGAAAACTCTCGTATCTTGATCCTCGGTCAAGTAGTCAAAGCTACAGGTGGTCAGGAAACCTTCTGTACTCCGGAGTAAAACGTATTATTTCAGTGATGCTATGTACTTAACATCGGGATATTAAATGATATTGAGATAGAGAACAGAAGGGTTTACCTGGTACGAATCTTCCCCATATTCTGAACATAGGTAGAAGGGTGAATGGCATAGTCCAGAACCAGGTGAAAGCAATGATGACTGCTGCTTGTTTGCCATTCAGACGGCCATCAATTGGGCAGGAAATCGTCCTATTGATTTATCAGAGAAAAATGTTATTATTCTACGTACCACTGCAGTCAAATAGCATCAAAATTCATCTCCATACTTGTATCGATCGAAGGCAATTGCGGCGTTGTTTATTGCGGAGCCAATACCGGAGATGCTTCCGAATGCAGCGTAGAGATCACAACCAAGTTCCCAGCCCATCGGACGTTCTAGGTAACTGTTCACGAGGAACATTGGCATGTCTAACATCATTATCAGATCGAAGATCGCCAAGTTTATTACAAACATGTTTGAAGGTGTTCTCAGTGACTTTGACCTAAAAATAACTCACCTTAGCTTCGAAGGGCTGTACATTCTGAGAAGCAAAGTTTCTGTACACTATACGTACGTGCTGAATATCCATACTACACAACCATTCCCCACAATCGACAAAACCATAAGCATGAAGTAAATCAAAGAGAGACCAATGTGCCAGAATTTTCCTGGAGCTAGAAATCCACGCCAATAGGGATGCACGAGATCAGAATGGTCTGGTGGAATATTCCAACCCAACAATCGGTCCTGCATCTGCTGGACTTGTCTGGAAATACAATGAAATCAATGAAATATTGCGGTCAATGCAGTTTACAACAATGTATGCATTAAATTGAATCAACGTCAAACACACTGGCCTTGAATAGACATGGTCCATAGAATGAGGATGATTTTATGATGAAAATTCCGTTCAATGGAGTGTCGGGGAGAGCCTGCGGTTTCATCAAATCGCGCCGGATGACATTCTTGTGGTTCAGTGCAATGAGAATTGTTGGGAAATAAATCCTAACGGGAGTTTTAGTGAATAGGTCAATTCCAAATATGTGCTTGTAGCATCATCATTAATTTACACATTTTTACGGTATTCTTGCATCACTGTTGGATAACATTAACGCGGTTGACTCGAAAAATTGAAAATTACGAGGACCGATCCCTTGGGGTCGTAAATGCCAGGAATGCCAGAAGTGCAGCTCGCCAATGAGTATCCAACGATTGAGATGGGCACGTAAACCGTCTCAATGTATGTTGAGAGAAAATCAAAGTTCAGGGCGTTTCAAATGAAAAAGAACACTTTCACTAAAACACCTTAATTTTAATTACACAAAAAGAAGTTCAATGATGACACCAATGTTTTTACAAGAGAGAATTTCACAGAGTTGACATTGTCTATTGAAAATTAATGAATATTGTTCTTGAGACTTAAATAGTAGAAATGAAATTGCACTTTGGAGTTTTTTGAATGATTATTGCACTTCAGAATTTTAGAAAAAAACTGTTGACTAAATTTGAAGATACTTGGATAAACGTGAGAGGCTCAGTGAGAAGAGTGTCTTCACTGGCCCTCGTCTTGAAGGTTACTAAACTTAAAATCTGAGAGAAAATGTAAAGTTCTCTAGTTATTTAGGAAGGGATATGCGAAATCTTATTGGCTAGGTGATATTTGCTAGCTTAAATGTAATTGGTTGAAGAAAGTGGGAGGGCATCTCTCTGAAACCGTTGGGACCGTCCAGAGGTTTTTCCGAAATCTGGCATACCCTTTTTTTTGCTACTGGGGAAAAATAAGGGATGCCAGGATTTCCCAGAGTGGACATTTGGCTTGCACATGTTGGGCCTGAGGTGGACATCCTTCCGACTTTCTTCCAACCCTAAATTTACGACTCGACCGCAATAAAACGGAGTTTTAAATCCGCCGTTTGAGTTTTAGGGGGGCCTGTTCGATAGTAAAACAAAAAAAAAGGGACAGACAAGTCGGAACAGGCTCACGCTCTTTACAACATGAGAAAATGAATTTTTCCCCAGTTCCATGCGAAACAAAATATCGGTCTCTGCACCGAACAATCACCAACAGGATTTAGTCATTTGTCTATTCTCTACTCTCTATAACTTTTTAGAGATTCAACAATACTAATGAACTTCAAGAATATTGAAGAATATTAACATTGTTGCCCCCAGTTCAAATCTCGATCGAGTAAAAGATTGTGACCTAATCACTTAAAATTTGGGTCAGATCAGAGATACATGACGGGAAGGTCGCAAATAATTTCACGAAAAAATTCAAGAATCCGTTCAACTTAAGGATATTGGAGCATATTTTACAGTCTGGCACGGACAACACGATAGATTCAATCATGAGTACACTCTAAAAAAAGATTACTTCTGATAAGTAGGAAAACTACTTGTATTCAGTACCGAGGCGTTTCTGGAGAAAAGCTAATTTTTTTACTTGGTCCAAGTCGAAAATCGACTGAATACAAGTTTTATGCTCCAAGTACAATTAGCACTGGTGACAAGTACCAACTGTACTCATCATCAGTACTGAAAGTACTTGTACTGAGTACCGAGCTGTACTTCTCAAAAGTAGAAAAAATACTTGAGATAAGTCGTAATAGTACTAAAATCCAGTACCAATGGATTTTCGCGGAATATTACAGTAAGATTCATCATACAATGGAGATCGTTGAAAAACGAAGAATTAATGCAAATAAAATTATTGTTTATTGTTCGTTTGCCCCTCAAATGCTTGAAAATTGAAATGTACTGGACTACAGTCCAGTGTAATAAATTCTCGAGCTACAGAGATTTTTTGTTCAAAATTTTTCAAAAGATGTGTAGAACAACAATTACCAATGAAGTTTTCCAAATTTAATTTCCAAATAGTCCTTTTTTTTAATAACAAAAAAGGTAATATTCATGCGAAATAGCCAGCAAAATGATTCTCAAAATAATTGTTATATTTTATATTGAACAAAAAAATTGAAGTATTAATCTTTTGAGCTATCTTGTGTGAAAATTGCAATTTCATTATGCGACAAAGAATGAAATTGCCTATTTAGAAGTCGAATTTTGAAAAAAAGTAGCTCGTAACCGTTATTCTAGACATCTTTTGAAAAATTTACAAAAGGAAACCCCTGTAGCTCAAAAATTGAGTACACTGTGCTATTTTTCTTCATTTTCAAGGTCTTGGGGGCAAATAAACAATAAATAATCGTTTTTTTTCCCACTTATTCTTCGTCTTTCAACATATATAAATAATCAATCATCAATGTGTGATAAATCTTACTGCAATATCTCGCGATTTTTAAACTCATCGTAACCTCCCCTCGATGAAATTTGGTCATTGTCATCTGAGAATGATAATGATAATGATAATGAGAACGATAATGAGAATGATAATTAATGATATGAAATTCCCCAACAAAATAACCAACCAAAAGTACTGGAATCAAGTCATAAAAGTACTCGCGAGAAGTAGAAAAATTACTTGCTCCAAGCATTAAAAGTACTTGTGAGAAGTAAGAAAAATGCTGACAGGAAGTAATAAAAGTACTTCCTCCTAGTACTTTTCCTACTTGCTTAGCAAATATTGTACTTCACCCAAGGACATGAAAAGTACTTGGGACAAGTAGTTTCCCAACTTTTCACAAGAAAACTTCTCCCAAGTAGAATTCAGTACTGGTGAGTAGTAACTTTTTTTTAGAGTGTAATAATCGAATTTATCGATTAAATTGCGTGACAAAAAGTTGACTAAATCATGCAAAGAATTATTATTTTTTAAAACATTCGTTGTTTATAAATACAAAATTGAAATTGTTTAAACTTTCGGAAACCTTTTCTTATGTATGAGATCGATTTCTGGTAAAATTCTGAATATGAATAAATTGGTTAGGGTCTCGAGCAAATGATTTTTATGGTTTAAAATCGATTGTTCATAAACTAATGATAGAACATGCTCGTAATTTTGAAAAATTTAATTTTTTTAATCATTTCATCAATTTTTCTCCAAAAGTAAACTTCCTTTTTTTCAGATTTTTGAAATGTTTCCTAACGGTCCAATATCGAGATTCAAATTCAGACCTACAAAGTTTAAATAATAAAATCATTGTAAAATATCGCGATACTTAGGATCCAATGGGGCTCAAATAAAAATTCTGATGTTCCAATACAAAAGTAGAAAAGCATTTCACTGGAGAAAAAATAGCCAAAGTACTTGGATATTCTTAAAAAGCCCCCATGAATTTGAATCATATAGAGTTCAACCTATTCTGCCGAGTTTTTACCCTAAAAATGATGCATGGACTGTTATTTTCATCTGCTTCGGCTTTTTCTTATTTTGAAATGTGCATCAAATTCTAAAGAATGAAATTGTGTATCCTTTTTTATTAATTTTCAATACACTACAAGAAGAACTTTTTTTCGATTTTTTCTTTTTGGTCGGTTTTTCATAACATCGAAGAGAAGGTTGTTTTGAGTGAATGAAGATTCCTATGGTAAACAAGGGGTGTTCAATCCACAAAAATATACAAACAAAAATCTCAACTACTCAAAACAATGCGTTTCCAGATTTTGAGAATAAAACTCAACAAAAAAAAAGGAAATTGAAAAAAAAAATTTCTCATGATCTATTGAAAATTGAAAAACGACGGGTACCCAATTTTATTCCTCAGAGTCCAACGAACATTCCACAAAAAAACTGTAAATAGGGAAAAAATTGTCCGTGAAACATTTTTAAGGTAAAAGAATCGAATTTTTTTTTTGGACCTTTCATCATATATCTGAAGTCGCTTGATAGATTCATTGAACCACCAGGCTTGCAAGTTTCTCGGGACCCCCCCCCCCCTTAAATCATCTATGAAACACGAATTACAATAGAAAAATATTCTCAGGGGATCCAGCTAGAAGCAAACTCAGTCTCTTCACTCTTCTACTCTGTTCCTTGTAGCCAAACACTGCCGTAAAGATCTTGTCATAGTAACGCGTTGAAAGGAAACGTCTAACAATGAATCCAAACAATCCGAACGTTTATTCTATTCTACCAATATCTGAATCTTACTTATTTATTTATTTTCTTTAAAGAACTCAAAAGAAAGTCATGCAAATCCGATTCCGATTTGACATCTCCCACATAAAAAGTGAAAGCTTCTGATCAAATAGTATAAAGTACAAATATTTTAACTGACAATTCGAGTTGTGATATGGCTTGAGAATAATTCAGACTGAAATCAACAATGAATAAAGGAACCATTGACATTCGCAGCGTTAAATTGATACGTTCAGTTCAGTTGTAAATCACTACACTGAGAGAAAAAGATAATTCTTCTGACTATATTCCATCACCATCGAATTATAGTCAAAAAGTCCTCAACAGTTTTTCATGGGTTACGGTAACTATGGCCGGAGAAGTAATTACTACAATGGAATGTAGTCATTGCAACTATTTTATAGTTCTCCTCACGATAGATTTGTCGTGGTTACTTTTGAACTTTGGTTAGTTTAATTGCATTTTGATTTGCAAAAATTACGCTTGTGTGAAGTTACTACAATGTTATGTGCCGCATACAAAAAAAATCGTATCGTTCACCAAAATGCCTCAACTATTTTCTTATTGTAAATCGAACTGCAGATTTTTCTCTCAGTGTACACTGATAGAAAGGATTAGTTATTGTTAACGAATGGATTTGGTTGGCGACGAGGATCTATTTGGTCTCTCCAAATGTTCATTCGCTAATAGTCAATAAATGCATATTTGAGGAGCCTTGCTTAACTCGATTTTCACTTTTCAAATGAACTATTCATTAACTATTAACGAATATTCATTTGGTCATATTCAACTCTACCATTCGTTAATAGTTAACGCATCTCGTTTGGAATAAATGAATCAGTCTATCAGTGTAATCACTATTGAAAAACTCAACACTTCCAGTCAGTATCAACTGAAATGAAAGTCGCAGAAAAAACTGAATAACCTCAATTATCAACCTCTAACCAGTACAGCTACAGTACAAAAATAATTCGCCTATCAGTGTCTATTCGTGGTACTGTCATCGCCGGACAGGTTAATAACGAGGGCTGTCTGGTCAAATGAGAGCTTTAGATGTCTATCACAAAATTGAACTCGATTGGATTACCACCAGTGGACAATACCGAGTGATTAGCCCTGGAGCATCTGAATACAACCACAGTGGAAGTACAGGGCAGTCGTTAGCAGACTTGCTCGACATTGAGAGCCGCCTGGAACATTACGCTCCATTCCACCCTCCATGTACCTTCTTCACTGTTTTTTTTTCATACTTCTACTGACTCCATACCCTTTTCTACCAGCCCCCCCCCAACCCCTCCCAAATGCTTTTCGCTCTATCGCCAAGTTCGCTTTAATTTTCCCTAGTCTACTTGGTTACCCTCCAAGCCAGTTGCCAATTCCATCCGCTGTAGCCAACGATCTTACCTCTCCACCCTCTCCCTTCTCCTCTACTCCCTTTCTTTCGATCCACTTCTTTTTCCTCCGTTCGACACAATACCGAGTGATTATCAAAGAAATAATCAGGCGCACTCACCCAACTCCACCTACACCGACTCCACCAACAAAAGCCTGCATTGGGCTGATTATGTTGGTATCGTTGAAGTACATCTTCGTTCTCCTACGTCTTCTCCACGTCTAAGTTCCTCTCCGTTTTTTTTTCTTTTATTTTCGATTGCTTTCAGGGATTTGAATGACAGCAAAGCCCTGATCCGTGGTTACTTTTCACTGTTGAATTATTTATAAATAAAACAAGTCGAGCGGAATCTGTGATAATTGAGAATAAAAAAATACTCAAAGTATTTGAGTAATTGAATTTCATACACAAGAAATAAATAAGGCCGCTATCCGTCGGTTTCCAATATCAGAAGCTGGTAATAAGCCGATGTAAGTTTCATAAAAGAACAAAGGAGAGCCAGGGAATAGCGTTGGGTTGCTCTGATCTCGACACGAGGGACAATCGACCACAAGCTTTATTGTTTGAAGTGAGACGCGGGGCGATGGTTTCGGGAATACGTTCCGCAACTCACTTGGGTCTCATGGTACTGCCCCATTCCCTTTTATACACCCGTGTACCAAAATCCCGAATAGCGTGCCAGCTGAGAATTTAATTCGATTTGCAGATGGGGAAACCTTTTGTTCGGCTCAGGTCGACTGGTCACGCGATTTTATATCAAAATATATCCCCTTTGCACCACCCTCTATCCAATTGCTTTTCTCGCTTTGCACTTGTTTTCTCACGTTATTTCATATTCCCTCACCCTCTTCCTTTGCACATCGTCATTAAAACCTAATGTCATTTCCCGCATTATGTGTTGTCAACAACTACCTCGACCTTATTAGGAATTTTCCTGCATCGCAAGTTATGGGCCATTATGGGAAAATTCACGAATTAATATCTGTGGAAATAATCGTAGTCAGTCATGTATAAACGCAGAACGACATTTAATCGAGTCACATTTCACTCTGTGATTCTTGGAATTTCCTATCATTGTCGGATTTTTTCTTAATTCCAACGACATGCTTATTGATTTGCACTGAAAAAAAAAACGGGAAATATTGATTTCCGCAGTTATAAAATTATGAAGATAAATAAACTTTCCTGCTGGTCTTTCTCAAATCGACGTCAATTATTCTGACGTTTCGCTACCATATTGATGGTTATCTTCATAACACAGATGACTTCATTTCACAACCATTACAAATTAATGACTTCGAGGGAATGGTTTATAAGTAGCTATACTGCCCACGGTTTTCAACCCAGAATGTTTAGTACTTACTCTGTATTTTCAGAGTAGATCCCTGCATATTCATGATCATACTCTCATTGCATATCCATAATTTAATCTTGCTGCTATATACAGATCTCCAGTTCTTTCCACCTTTATGTATATCCATGTCATCCTGAGCGTAAATACATAGTGAATGTCCTGAAAAAATTATACTAGATACCCTACTTTCTTGCTTAATTTACTATCGTTATTAGAAAAAACATTTCGCCACACACAGAAACAGCTAAACGTCAATTACGTTTAGGGAAAGTGGTGCGTGGACCGCTCACCGAAAAAATAACAATAATTTTCACATCCCAAACAACGATTTCGAATAAAAATTATCGTTGCATAGCATTCTTTGGCTATTTAACTAGATATTTTCAAGTCTTAGATCCACAATTTTTGTTTCAATTCCGATAAATCATCAAAAAATGAAGATAGGATTTGAATGAGTGGTACCGGGCGCATGCAGTTAATACCGCTCAGTAACTAACTTCTAGTCAATAGCTGTTAAAAGAAAAAAATCTCTGATGTTGGATGATTCACTGAAATGACCAGAATTCAGATTTTATTCGATAAATTGAAATGCATATGAACAAAATGGTATTGTAAAAATGTGAGAATGGTACTTCACTCGTTATTTTTTTAGGGAATAATAAAATATTACGCTTTTATTTCCTTTGGACATTTTATTCTCTTCTGGAACAGGTTATACATTTGAATATTTATTCCTTATAACCATCCGAACGAGTCACCTATACAGAATGTTACAGCCATTTTCATTTTCAAATTCTTTGTTCATGATCAGAAAATATCTCAAAATAAATTTTCATAAGAGAAATCACTAATTATGCTGTACTTAGCGGATTTTTTTCGCCCACATTGAGAAAACATTCTCTAATTATTAATTAAAAATGACAAAAAGAGATTTCGATATGAAAAACTTTACCTTCTATTATTATAGGAGATTGTAGATGATTATCGTAGTGAAAAACTTTACGTACTGGTGCAGAAGAATCGCGTCATAAGGCGCTGGAAATCCTGGGGTGTTATTTTTGTCATTTAAAGGGGTGAAAAAAAGTAAATTTTCATGAGAATTACATACTGATTGTAGAGTGCTCAGATTGAATAAGAGACAGTGAGGGAAGTAAGTGGTTGTGGGAAAATCAGGCGAGCGGTATTGGCTGTTGAGCCAATACAGGTATCGCCTCCTCTAAAAAGTCGTCTTTTACACTTTCTGAAGCGTATTTTAAGCTTAAAGTTGAAGCGTAAATTAGTCTCAAATTCGTGGTAAATTACGATTTCTTAAGCGCAAAATTCACTTAAGGAAACGTAAAAAACGCTTCGTTTGGGCCTAAAATATACCTTTTTTAAGCCCAAATTCCGATTTCTATGAGAAAAACAGCCAGCAAACACCATATTGGTGTGAAACATAAATTGCTTTTGGCAAACCGTAAATTACGCCTAGCAAAACGTAATTTACGTTTAGATTATTCCTCGTGCATTCAGAGCTTGTCAATTTCACACAATAATTACATTGAGATTTTGTCCTCTCATATTTCATTAACAATATATATTCTACAAAAGAAATGAAACAAAAAGTACGAACATTGTGTTAACTCACTAGCACTTCGTTAAACCCGTGAGTGGGTCTCTCAACGCGCGTCTACCGGATTAAACCGTAAAATTGCTCGGGGACAACCGCGAATTTTCCTGATTTACGGGTCTCGCGGTCGTTAGTCGGCCAAGCCCCTGCCCTGGGGACCGTCAGCTCTGCGGAAAGGCGCTGTGGTTCCTCTCCACTCGTGCTTTCTTTCTGCCTCTCTTTCTAGCTCTTCGTCGGTGTGATATGCAGGGTGAGGAAAGAGCCCTGGGTGAAAGAACACGAACATGGGGGTTTTATCCGTGTACTGCATCCGGCCGGTTGGGCACAACTTTTCCAGGAAGTTCGGTACAACCTCTTTTCCACCGACATTTGTTTTTTAACACTGCTGCCTCTTGGAAAAAAGTCCCCCTGCATTTTTTTCCTCTTTGTTGCCATTCAACTATATTCACTGTATATATTTACGAGCTTTCTGCTCGTGCATGCAACAGTGAAGGGTCTACACTGAGCACCAATGGTCACTGGAGGCTCGGACCACCCACACGCTTCCAGCCAAAAAAAAATGTATTATGTTCGGTTGACGCCGGATGAGAAGAGTGTTTGCATGCATTGCAAACCGTTAAATATAAAGGAATATGAAAATTTTTGAAGGACAGACAAGCACGGTGGAGGGAGATAAAAATGACACCGCAGGCAGTGTCAGAAATTGAAGAGCAAACAATGCAGATAGAGAGCCGATTAAACGTGACAATGAGAATAAAACATTTGCCATGACGCCAGTTTTCTGTATTATCCGCCCTTGTCTGAATGCGACTCCTTTCTCCTTATTTTTTCTTCCTATTTTATTCGGTATTTTTTGTTTCTGTGTCACTATCAGTGACACATGTCATTCTACCAGGAAGGATATTTCAATGAGCCCCTGGCGCGTGTGAACGTCAGTCTGGCTGATGAGGCGAATGATAAAGCCTCGTCCAGAAGTTACAAATACACACTGTCAAACGGACAAAAATGTTATTTACTTGAGGGTGCACACCCGTCAAAACTCGCACACTGTTGATTCAACTCGATGGATGAGGTGCACAATTTTGAAGAGAATTGCTGGCAATCACGAGTAAACGCGGCTGTGTTTCATGGCAACCTAATGTTACAACTATAATCAGAGCTAACAACGTCATTGTCATCGTCGCCTGGTGAAGTTGCACCTGCTTGGGTACAATTACCATTTGTTTTCGTGTGTATCGGTGAGGTGAGCGCTTATGCTTCGGTGTTGTGTTCTCTCTCCATCGGCTTTAAACCTCTCGTCAACCAGCCTTCCAACATTTTGTTCTTATAGCACATCTGGCATGACAATTCGACCTAAAGCTAAAGGAATGCAGATTGGAGAGACACGGATTAATGAGGATTAACGCTAATTGGTCGGGCATCAAGGGAAATGTATGGATGTGTAGAGGGGAAACAAGAGGCGAGGGGTTGAGGAGGAACTTCGCCAACCACGGCATTCAAGAATCAGTACCCATTCCACTAGCGACTGCTAGTCCAGAATGAGTGGATGGAGCATTCGGCGTGAACACTTATTCCAAGTCAACAGGCATTCCGATTATTCAAATTGTCAGTATTCCAATTCGTTGGGAATACGAATACACGCTGATGAACGGTGATCGATTCAACGAGGACGTTTCAAAAATTGTTTTCTCTCTGAGGTCCTCATAACTGGAATACATCAGCACTCGAGGGGGGATAGTATGAATCATCACTGTGACTTTATTCCACCGTCTGGAAGTTGTACGATGAGCCTGTGAAAAATTCTGGTTTAACTGAATAATCACATATAATACTGGACTGCATGCAAGTTTAATAGGAGTATTTGTGCAAATGAATAAGAGGTTAATTCAATCTGATGAACTGGTGTATTTTATAGGATGTAGTTCTTCTTGAATTATGTATATTCACGTTTTTCATTAGAACATTCGCTAACGCTATCACTGAGTTTTTCCTGTGCTCCTATGTTGAATACCACTTTTTATTAAATTCAATATGCGAATTGAAAGAACCAAGGGTAAAAGGAAAACCACGAGGTATCTGCGATTTTCTCGCAAAAAATGGTAAATGAACTGGTGGGTGAATATGAGACCAGGGAAGAATGAACAGAGGAGTGAATAAAGAACAATCGGTATGACCAATCAGGACGGAAATTCAATGTGAAAAAATCTCGTTGTTGAATGGCTTCTGTTCACTTCGCGAGCAACAGAGAGACTAAATCTCAGTATTATGGCATAACTCGTATCACCAGTTATGCATTTTGACGGAAACGTGCGTGGAAAATTGAAATCTTTGCAGTGGCCAAAAAATTCAACAGTCTGAAAACTGACAACACTGATGACAAAAGGGAGAAACATTGATGGACAAAACAACAAGTGCCTACAGAATTTCGACTGGGCTTCCAGTCCGAGAATCGAATGTTTCAATTGACAACGAATGCTCCGTCATGGTGGAATCGTTTGTTGATTTATATACAAAATTCTCTACCGGTGGATTTGTTTTTTTTATTTCCCTGGTTTCGCTTGATTGAACGACGAAATGGAATTTTGTTTTATCCGCATACATCGACAATGTCAATAGTGTGAATTAACCGATTGAA